AATGTTTCGATGGTTATCAGGAAGCAAGGAATTTTACAAAAATTCTATAGAAGTAATTGAAACCAATAATAATAACACCCCGCTTGAAAGTGGGGGAGGGGGTCTATATAGTATATCGGGACGTCCGTCCGTTACGCTTTGGGATAGAGTGCCCATCTCTTATTAGCAACTTCTCTTAAACCGATGAATGTTAATGAAGATTTCACAGAATATTTGTTATATAGCGCTATTGTGCGTTTTCCTTTTTGATCTGACACATACTATAGTATTCCGGTTTCCCAAAGTAAAACATGGACCGTGCCATTTTAACCATATGGTAGACGGTGACTCACAGTAAATCTATAGTGTTTTTAAGAATCTGTATAGATCGATATTATACTAGGACAGGAAGAAATCACCGAAATAACTTTAAAAAATATTTTTCTCTATAAATTCGATTGAAACATTTTTACATTAACTTTATTATTTATTTATTTTTTTTTATTTTTTTTTTGATTTTGGAATGTGGAAAAAGGATCACACCATTGCTTTCAACCATTGATCAGATCTGCCCTGTTCAAATATAGAATTTAAATACAAAGAGTAAATATGAAACCTCTTTGTGATTTAAAGCACAGCAAACATTGCCAATAAGAAAATTTAACATTTCGTCCATATTACATTTTCCATTGTTTCGGACATTCTGCTTCTTTGTGTTTTCTGATTTGAGAAATGATATCAAAAACTTAAAATAATTTTGAGCCCATGCGTACAACACTCCTATATTAAAATCAAATCATTACAGAGAATAGGTTCTCAATGTCAGAAATTTTAACAACAGTGTTTTTTACATGCAGCACTAAGTCTTTGTTTTTGACGCATGTTCCATTTTTTTAAATTTCTGTTTTTTGTTTTAAAACCATTTTGAATTGGTTTATAAATTTCTAAATAATAAAAAATCAAATCTCAGTACTTTTAAATTGCATAAATAGGTTTTAATGAAAAAGAACTACTGTGGGATAACCTACTAAGCAATCGTAAGCAGCGTACAGGAGATCGAGTTATACTTGTAATTAGCAAAAGTTGATCACGGAGGGAAAGAATCTGATTTAATGTGCATAATAAATTTTTAACGGCATCTTACCTGGAAATTTAGCTGCCGCTGTTTTGATCCGCCATGATTAAGCAAAGTAATGTTGATAAAGTTATCTGTATAGCAAATCTTGTTGCGGGGTCACAAAATAGAATGATACGTCATCATCCCTCGTTTTAACGGTCAATTTTTGGGTCTTTAAATATGGTTATTTCACAAATTGATAGAGGCGTGATCCAAGAAATGTTCTTCATTATTGACACCCCCACCCCACCCAGCACACAAACAAAAGGGGTTTACAGGCCTTAGTGAAATAAACGAATTTAGATGTCTTAAAGTCGTCTTATACACGTATTCACTACATACGTACAAGAGGTTTTTAATGCTTTTTGACCTAATATACCTACTAATCAAGTAGATCGTAACATATATCTCTCCTCATTCAATTAACATCTCTACGACTATAATTGGTTTATTTTTTTTTGTGAATTTTCTTAAGCCGAATATAATTTCTGTGAGATGATCTTACTTCATCTTAATGTCCTCATAATCAGTTACTAGTATTGGGAAAAAAATTGGTTTGTCCTAATTTTTCCCTACCCATCCCTTTCTAGTGTGCTAATCTTTTATATGTAAATGGTCTGCCCTTTTTTCATAACGTTTGAGTGTTTTGTGCTAAAACTATCAATTTCATATTTTTGACCTCTTGACCTTGGTGTATTACCTACTTAGAACTTTAATATTGGCCTTATTTATCTGAATGTACGTGCTAGGGTGTTCATATATTTCAAATGTATATTCCTTGTGACAAGACCTTCCTCTGACAACCAACAGTTTTTTTTTCTTACAAATTATTTTATTTTACTACTCATCTGCAGGGCAAACAAATAACGTTTGGCGGAGTTATTTTGATAATTAAATAACGTTTTTAAACAATTGTTTTTACGTAAAATTTCACCAAAAAATTCATTTTGGCCTGTAATAGAGCAGTACCGTATTTATCGTAAAAGGGTATATTGCTAGGCCATTATATACGCACCGAATTGTCGACTAATTTTATTCCTTATTTCCTGATTATGACAAAGAGCAAAGGGCGAGTGTGACCGGTCTGCTGGGGATGCTCACTCCTCCATGGCACCTGATCCCACCTCTGATGTTTTGGGGGTCCGTGTTTGCTCTGCTCTAATTTTGTATTTTAATTGACTCTTGAGCTTGAGTACTGTTCGTTATTTCCATAAATTACATTCTACAGATGAACTCGTCTCATTTTTTTTTTTGTTCCTAACTTCAACACCACTAACATATTTTTTTTTCATGGCAAAATTATTAACAGCAGCCAGGAGAATTTTCAAGATTTTGGTTACTGTATTTGTCTAAAGTAAAGTCAATGACACTTCGACCCTTTTGAGATGCTTGTTTGTTATAAACTCCTAAGAAACCGATAGTATACCCTAATTTTAACCACTAGTTATAGACTCTTAAATACTTCGTGTATTTTACAAAAAAAAAAAAAAATGAAAGAATTAAGGGCTTAAATATATATGTAGGAATAAAAAAGTGATTTGTTCTTATTCAAACATAGTCAGTGGGATAGGACAAAAGTTATTCTAACTTAGGTTGTCCTCTCCAACACAAATAGAATAACAACAAAACTTATCAATGAAGACATAAATTTGACATCAGATTTAAAAAGAAACAAAGCAAGGTAAGAAAAAAAAATTGCAACAAAAACATGAAATTGAAAAGAATTATCCCTTTCCTTCATCTTTATTATATTCTTGGTTTATTTGTCAGATGATATTTAGTCCTGATTCAACTTTTAAATATCATCGTCATGTACAAGAAAATTAATAAAACAAGGGACTTTTCTTTTTTATGAACTTTTCGTTTTTTGTTTTTTTTGTTTAAGTAATTATACGATATTAATAAAGCTGATAATTATATGTAATGTAATAAGTCTTTATGTTTGTAGACGTAACCATTATTTATGATGGCGATATTGTGCCAGCCATTGCATTACAGCTTCCGGTTTGTAGTTTTCTGGTCCTGCGCCTTGGCCAGCATACTGAATGACGTCATCATATATAATGAATAACCTCTCAGGAACCGCCGCGTACTTAATAGCTCCAGAATTGTCCATGGTATCAATAAGTAGTGGACATGGACATCCTTCCTCCAATAGCAGCCGAGCCGCTTCTAGTCTCTCCTCTTGTGAAGTGTGGGAACTTAAATGAGAGAATTTAGTACCTAGGACAGTCCACCCGTCTATCGGATGTGCTTCTTTAACGTAAACAACGACAAAGTCCGCAATGTCTGAGAAATCAGCAACGATTTGCTTGAACAACGCGAACTTCATCATAAACGGGGGTCAGGTACAGCTGCCAAAGTTCACAATCAGTGGTCTCCCTTGTTTCTGGAAATCTAACAGCTTCATTATCTTCTCTGTCTGTACATTAACAAGACTAAGGTTTGGCGCTACTTTACCGACGATGGCGGAGCGTCGAAAGATCTCTGTGCCATGATTAATTAATTGCACTTGCATAGTCTTGTATGACAATGTTAATTCCATTCCCTTTGGACCCATTTTTTTGGTGAAACCTTTAAAAACATTATATATTTTTTGTCCTATCAAGGGAAATCTTAAGACAACAGGAGTTATTGCAAGGAGACGATAGGCTAGTTTGAAACATCTCCACACGAGTATAAGGCTTCTTTTTGGTTGAGCCTGCGCCTTCCAATCATAATCAAGTCTCCGATACGTGTCCATGACGATGTCTGAAATTAGAAATCATATTTACTTTGACAGAAATAAAAGACTGGCACATTAATATTATTAGTGGTATTCCCTAATCTGTCTAGAAAAGGTAAAAGAGAATTTTGACGGTGAGCTCTGAGTAAGACACATCAAGGCAAATGGAATAATGGCATAGTTCTACACGAATAAGCAAAGTTAATGATAGAAAAAATTAAGTTATCGCGTACACAATAAAGTTTATTGTTAAATTTGTCAATAAAACGAGGTACGCTATTGAAAAACAAGTTGATGAAACAAGAATATCAGTAGACTCGTTTAAAGTCATCATTTCATAAATATTGTGGTCGATACAATAACCTTGTCAGTAAATACAATCTATCAATATTAAAATTAAGTCTAATTAAATACTGACTGACTTTTTTTTCATACTAATTATCAGGCTACTGTTAACACTCTGAATTATGTACGATTTTTTTTCGCTATTTCCCGATAATATCAAAGAGTTTTGAGCTTGAATACTGTTCGTTATCGCCATATATATTTCACACAATTTATTCTCGATCTAAGTACATGTTTATTTCAAACATTTAATTATACCAAGATAAGTGACTATTTTGCATTTTTAAATGAAGTTTTATATTAAAGCAAACAACAGCAAGCTCTATTTATCTATATTTAGTTGACTTTGTGAGTGGGGGGGGGGGGGGTTGTTGTAAATTCTCCATACAATGTTTCCTGGACTACTTAATTTCTTCTAGAATTATATGTATTTTAGCTCGTAACATTGTATTGAGTTGACTAGCTGTAACTTGGAAAAAAGACTGCTGGCAATATAAACAGATTAGTTAATTCAGCATATAAATTTGAAAAATAAATGACAGTAATTTTAAAGAAAGAAGCATTGCATTTCTTTCTTTTATTTATTTATCCTAATTTCTTTTTTTATCATTTAGCTTAAATGTTTGTGTAAAATTTTTAAGAGAGTGACCTAGCATCTAATATTAATTATTAGTAACTGATGTTAAATGTGGCCTGTTACGTTATAGGGGGGTATTAAAACTTAAAAGCTGTTTGTCCACAATTTGAAGAGTTAAAAAGTTAATTTAAAAAAACCCTGTGGGAATCGGATTTGGTTATATGTAGAAAGATATAGAGAAAAGTTGACTGTCGCTTGTTCCTCTTATTGCAACAGCTTTAGCACCTCACATCCAAGTCATTATTCAGAGTTGTTTACACTCAATGTCTGAAACCATCAAAACCCAGCAAGAAACAATTAAAAAACAAGCCGATGAAATTAAAAGTGTTCAAGAAATAAACTCTGACCTTGAAAAAAGAGTAAACGACTTAGAATGTGGCCTTGATGACCTTGAACAATACGGCCGAAGAACATGCCTACGCTTCCATAATGTCAACATTACAAATGAACAGGCCCAGAACACTGATGATGTTGTAATTGATATTTGTAAAACAATGGGTGTCAACATTGTACCTGACGACATCAACAGGTCTCATCCCATCGGCCGCCCTAACTCCAACAATCTTAGGCAAGTAATCTGCAGGTTTCGCAGCTGGAAAATCAAAAACAAAATCTACAGCGCGAAGAAAAACCTAAAGGATAATCCGCAAAATCCCAGCAAAATATTTGTCACTGAAGATTTAACAAAGTACAGACAACTTGTGGTTAAAAAAATTATAGAAGCAAAAAAGGCAAACAAACTGCACAGTTTCTGGACATATGACGGTAGAATCTATATTAAAACCGAAAAAGAAGGCGACAGAATCCAAATAACATCGCTGGATGATTTGTATGAACTAATCGAATAAATGCATCAAACATGTGCCTTTAAATAGTAGATCTGTGTCACACGGTGAAAGTGAGTTCTACATTTAAAACGTTATAGACATGTTTTAAACATGATAATATATATTTTCCACACTCTCCAATACCTGTTTATTGTTTTGTTCTCAGAACAATGCTGTTATACAAGCTTTGTTTATTTACAATCATTGTCAGTCTTGTTTATATGTTTGCTTTGACTGACTTCCAAGTACTTGTTCTTGTAACAAGTTTTAGTTCATTATTTTCTGTTTACTGTTTGCTTTTTATTATGATTACATCTGCAATGGGTTTCAGTTTATCTAGACAATTTCAAGATCTTTGCAATATTCAACTTTGCTGTTCTTTGCGGCTTTATTTTCCTATTTTTTACCAACCCAAAACATTAGTTATTACCGATCATGGGTAATACTCTTGAACAATATCGAGCCGCAATTGGAATTTTTTACCTTCGAAATAGATGCACATTCAAATCCATGAATTACTGTTTTTTCAGATTGGTATATTTAGTTTGGCTTTTGTGGAAAGCTTACCTATTTTGTAAACAAAAATTCAAAGTTTGTAAGAAACATGCAGCATATTTTCAGCATGTCAATTTTCTTTTTCAACTTATGAGTATATTATTAATGCTGTCTGGTGATATTGAATCAAATCCTGGGCCTACAGATAACTCTTTCCATACTTTAGATATATTTCATATAAACATAAGAAGTATAAGAAACAAAATTGAAAATTTAATATCATTTGTCAGTGATTATCATATTTTGTGTTTTACTGAAACACATTTAGACTCAAATATTGATGATAATGCTATTTCGATTGAGGGGTTTTCTACAATTTTTCGCAAAGATCGTAACTCATATGGAGGCGGTACCCTGATTTATGTATCAGATTCACTTCGTGCCATAAGACGCACTGACCTTGAACCCTTGAATACGGAATGTATATGGATAGAAGTTAGCGACCCTATAAGTAATATTTACCTTTGCTGTCTATATCGGCCTCCGAATTCTGATAAATCCTTTTGGAAAAACGTAATGTGGTCCATTGAAAAAGTTTCTGATATATCCAATAAGATAATTATCCTTGGAGACTTAAATGTAGATTTTTTAGATATTCCACGCACTCATATTGTTAACGAAATTTTGTCTCAGTATAGTCTTAGCAATATTGTCAATGAAGCAACGAGAGTCACGAGTAGATCGAGCACGCTTATTGACCCAATTCTGGTTAGCACAGACATCAAGGTGCTTCACTCTGGAACTGTTCATGTTGATAATTTTATAAGTGACCATAAAGGAACATATGTTTTTGTTAAATCAGATGTTATTCAAAATCAATCATACGAAAGAAAGGTTTGGTTATATAAGCACGCAGATATGGATAAATTGAATTCTCTCATTGAAAATACTGATTGGAATACGCTTATAATTGAGGCACCTGATATAGATCAAGCAACGAAAAATTTTACATCAACATTTTTGAATAAAGTAAAGGAATGTATTCCTGAAAAATCGGTTGTAATTCGTCCGAAAGATAAACCTTGGTTTGATTCGGCTCTGCGTAAAACACATAGAAACAAGAATAGATTATTTAGTAGGGCCCAAAGGACAAAAAGAAATTCTGACTGGGAAAAATATAAGAAATGCAGGAATAAGTTTAACAATATGAAAAAAATCGCCATTGAAAATTATCATAATAACATAGAGCATCATATTACAGACGCAAGTAAAAATAATTCCAAACTTTACTGGAAGTTATTGAGAGATATATTTAAAGTAAAATCTACTACCGATATTCCTCCTCTACAGTATACCTCTGTTAATGGTGACGCATGTGTGGCTTTTACAAATGAAGAGAAAATAGATGTTTTAAATGATTATTTTGCTTCTATCTCTTGTATTGACGAAAACGACGCTATTTTACCTAATTTATATTCTGTGTGCAATAACCCATTTGATACAGTCTGTATTGATGAACAAGAGATTATAGATATTATTTCAATTATTCCTGTTAACAAAGCAATAGGTCCAGATAATATTAGTCACAAGATGTTGAAATCTACCATGTATACTATTGTAAAACCATTATGTTTATTGTTTAATAGGTCATTAGTTGATTGTATTTTTCCTTGCAAATGGAAAGTTGCCAATGTTCTCCCTTTATTTAAAAAAGATGATCCATCTGTTATGTCTAATTATAGACCTGTGTCACTGTTAAGTTGTATTGGTAAAATAATGGAACGAATCATATTCAAACACTTGTATAATCACTTTCGTGACAACAATCTTTTTTATAAATACCAGGCTGGATTTTTACCAGGTCATTCCACTGTATATCAACTAATAGAAACATATGATACTGTTGTTAAAGCCATCGATGATGGTGAAAATTGTTGTATGATATTCTGTGATCTTTCTAAAGCATTTGATCGTGTGTGGCACAAGGGTCTCTTGTTCAAACTTAGAACTTATGGTATAGAGGGAAATATGTTTCATTGGTTAAAGAGTTACATAGAAGGTAGATCACAAAGAGTTTTATACAGAAACTTGCTATCTGACGAAAAACCTATACACGCCGGTGTCCCTCAAGGCTCAGTGTTAGGACCTTTATTATTTCTTATATATGTTAATGATGTTGCTGAAGAAATGACAAGTTTTTGTAGATTATTTGCAGACGATAACTCCCTACAACAGTCATCTAAAAATGTTAATACTATTGAAAACAAACTGAATTCTGATCTTAACAAGCTAGAAATCTGGTCGAAAAAATGGCTTCTTAAATTCAATCCTACTAAAACTAAAGCAATATTTTTTAGCCTGAAAAAAAGTGTTATTTATCCTAAACTTTTCTTCCAGCAAAGTCAGCTAGAATTTGTTTCTTTTCATAAACATTTAGGAATTTTTTTCTCGCAAGATCTTAGTTGGTCTACACATATTGATACTATTCTAGCCAATGCATATAAAAAATTGGGCTTGTTAAAAAAACTTAAATTTGTTGTCAACCGAAAAACTCTTTCACTCATGTACACAACCTTTATTAGACCACAGTTAGAATACGCTTCCTTGGTGTGGGGTGGATGTAATATAGGTGACAGCGAAAAATTAGAAAAATTACAATTATGTGCTGCTAGAATTGTCACAGGATTAACTCTGTTAGCTTCTAAAGATGCACTTTACATTGAAACTGGATGGGAACCATTACATGAAAGAAGGAAAAAGACCAGACTAACTACAATGTATAAAATTGATAAAAACCAAGTTCCTGAATATCTCACAGATATAATCCCTAACTTACGATGTAATTCATCAAGTTACAGTACGAGAAACTCGCAGAACTATAACATACCCAAATGCAGATTGCAAGCTTACAAATCAACTTTCGTTCCCCTTGTTATTGAAGAATGGAACTCATTACCTCTTAATGTAAGAAATTCTCCCTCGTTATCTATTTTTAAAAAGTCTATTTCTTTCAATAAACAAATGCCACCCTCTTACTTCAGTTATGGAAATCGACGCTTAAATATAATACACACGAGGCTCAGACATAACTGTGTGCTTAATAGCGATCTTTTTCGATGTAATGTAATCTTGAGTCCACTATGTTCTTGTGGAAGAGTGGAGGATACTCATCATTATTTCTTCTCATGAAAAAATATACAGAAGCCAGGAAAGAATGAATTTTTTGACAAATTTTTGCGATTGGGTAAATTACACACTGTCGATACTCACACTTTACTCTGGGGAGATAAAACGTTAAATGATTTTGAAAATGAATACCTATTTTCTATTGTACAAACTTTTATTAAAAAGTCAGGACGATTTGGTTGATACAATAATTATTTCTAATTGTAAATCTTATACAGCATGTCTATTACATATGAAATGTATTCTATTGAATGTGTTTTACTCTGATTACTATATATTATTATTATATTATTATTATTGTTATTTCATTTTAAGCTGAAACCCATGTATGTAAATATGTTTGGTATAATGTATATGTACACTGGAGAGGGCGTAATAAGTTTTTAGAACTTTTGCCCAATCCCATTTGTAAAGTATAATCAATAAAATATGTTCAAATCACTGTATTAGAATCAGAATGGGTGCAAGTTTGGTTAATCCCCCCTTAAAATATTCAGTCAAGCCCATTTCGGTACGGTGTAACATTTTCAATAAATCTTACCTGAAAATTTAGCTGCTGTGAATCCTCATAGTTTACCAAAACAACAGAGGAATCTTATATATTGAGATCATTTTCATAGTAAACTGGCCAATGGGTCACAAATTAGAACGATATGTCAGCTCCAAGTTACGCTCTAATAAGCGACCTTTAACATTTTATGTTATAAATATGGTCCAGCGTTTTCATGGTATTGAATTGTTATTGCAATTTACGTCAAAAAGGCGATTTAAGTAAATGTTGGTAACCTTTTCCCGAGTACCATGAGATTTGGTGCCGAAGGGACCAAATCGAATGGCGAGGGAAAAGTTTAACAACATACTTAGTACATGCTTCACACGAGAAATTAAGCCCTTTGTGTGTCTGTCTATTTAATTACAAATCTTTGTGTGTTTCTTATTATTTAATCAAGATAACGATAGTTTGACCCTGAGTGCTACCATTTGGTACAGGCCCAGAAGTGATAATTATACCCTCGGGGTAATATCTACCTGTCAGGTTAAGGCCGGTTTACACGGTAAAGCAAGCTGTATAGACCTTGCTGTATACAGCAAAATGTTACTGTGTGTACGGCGCTATTACACGGAATTTAAACCTCCCCGAAGTCATATATTCCACGCGTTCGAATAGAACTTGTCTCTATTCTGTACAGCAAGTTGTATGAGACTTTTTTCTCTGGCCAATCAGTGGACTGGGATTTGTGTAATCTATTTATGCTTCACTGACCACTTCATTGGATGCAATGTATCATTCTTTTTAAAATCATTGTTAGAAAGTTTAATACATGATTTTATAATATATGCATGTGATAAGACTATCTAAAGAGTATGTTGCTACATGAATAAGGGAATTTTGAAATTCATTATATTGCGTTAGGGGACAGAAATATCTACAATTTTATGTTCAAAATGCATTGGTCACAATTCAAATCTTCGAAATATCAAACTATTTTCACAAATCTTTCTTTGAGAATAATCTGTT